CTGCCAATTAGATAATACACTGTGGACTATATTGTCTCCAACAGAATAGAATAACCAGGTATATGTCCAAAAATAAATAATTGTCTGCATCAAAGCAAATAGAGTTATAAAATAATGGGATGAAAGGATAATCAGAGTAAATAATAATAAACTTGTTATTCTAACATTTCATGCACAAATCTATGGATATTAGGGTTTTGTCAAACAGCAGTTGCCGTAAGTTCCAAACATAAATTGATACCTGTGAGGAAAGAGAACATCCCTGACTAACATCCCTGACTAGCATGAAACAGAAACAAAAAGAAAGCTGAGACAAGATTCCATTCATCCTAATTCTGGCTCTAGGAGTTTAATATAAAATTTTAACCTTTCTCTGAAATTCTAGGGGAAAACTAGTATTCAATGTGGCAAAATAATTTTCCAATAAATTTAATTGGTGCTCTTCATTGCATCCAGAGAGATAATGACAGCTCTGCCAGTCCTGTGCTTGTTGAATGCAATCTGATCCACAACCATTTAGGTTTATCAGACCCCTGCCTGTTTTTAATGACTGCTACCTGACCCAGGTGGGTTAATGATACAATTATGTGTTATGGTCTGTCAGCTGAATTATAGTTAGTGTTTTAATATTAACATTCATCAGTGAAATAGGTCAATAATTAGCACAAAGGATATGATCTCTATCTGGATTAGGAATTACTGTAATACAAGCATCACTGAGTGCTGATGAAAGAGGACCCAATTTAAAAATAAAGTAACACAAATATGAGATTTGTAGAAAGCCTTACAATTTTGTTATCCAAATCTGGGCCAAGGCCTTTCCCTGCTTTCATATAATTTTTTGCTTTTGTAATTTCATCAATCCACAAAGGTGCCTTTGAAAACTGCCTTTGTGACAGATCAAGACAGGAAAAATTAGCCTGGGGAGAAAAATGATGTTCTGCTCTGATATTTCACAGCCACTGCAATATATTTTTGAATAAAATGTTATTAATAGAAAATGTATGTCTTTAGGATGAGTAAATATGTAGCTGCTACCATCTGTAATCATCAAGATAGTGTTTCGGTGTTTATGTTGCTGAAGATGATTTGTGAACATTTAACTTATCATTTAACAAGGAAACATTAAGGCTTCAAAGACCAGCAGGCCTTGAGTGATTTGTAAGCAGCAGATCCAAAGTGGGGCATATTCTGCTATTACCCTAACCCAATCTTACAGTCTCTGATTTGGTGTAACAAGAATGTGGAAACAAAAAAATAAGCCAATCAGAGACAATTGTTATGGACAGAAAATACAGCTGCATTGCCTCTCTCATCCAGATGCCTCTTAAGGACCAGCAAATTCCTATGCAGAAATAGTTTCCATCTAAAAACTTGGAAACCTGTTGGGAATATTTGCACAATTTGGAGGGCTGGGAAATACACACAGATTTAATGGGTGGGAAATAGAAGTAGATGGATGGGAGATTGGCACCAATTTGAGGGAAGTAAATGGAGGGTTAACTTACACTCCTGCACTTACTTCTCAATCTTTAAATTAGTACACATTTCCCCACCATTTGCATGGATTTCTGGTCTTGAAGAACTGTCAGGTAAATCTGACAAAGTAAATCTCTCTCCTTACTAGAATAGCTGGAGACACACAAAATGGTGTAAGGTGCTGAGAAATGTTACTTCCATACTTAAAAGTGCAAGGGTTTCATGGCTATGTGGCAAAAATTATCTCCTCTCTGCCCTTTAGGTGCATCTCTTTTTGGCACTCCCCACCCTTTTCAGTACTTTTCAACCCATTTAGCAAGGGTCCCTGGTGTCTCTGTGCAAAGCAGCCCATGCACAGACTCACCCTGACACTTTCCATTTGATGACTGAAATATATAAACCAATAGACCAGATAAGTGAAATATGGGTAAAAGAAAAGGAAATGTGAAGGCAACTGCACAGTTTTCTGGCTCTGAAAGAATAAAATAAAAATACACCCCAATAGCACATTTTGAGGCTGAAAAAACCACTATCCACCACCAGTGGCAAACAGGGCAGGGATCAGACAAGGCAGATTCTGCAGCAAAAGAAGCTGGAGGGCCAAGGGGGAAGGAGAGGAAGAGCATGCCAGAGTGATCCAGGTCCTCTGCTAACTCATTCGTAGGCTGTCTTAACAAGTTGTACAAATAACAACACCAACAAGAACAACAACATTATATTACATTACATTTCTATACCATCCATAGCTGAAGCTCTCTGGGCATTTCACAACATATAAGTTACCCATCCAGATTTCAGCTAGGCCTGTTCTTGCTTAGTTTCCACAATTGCTGTAAACTGTCCTGAGACAGTATAGAAAGGCTTTAAATAAAGAAGGCAGGGTCAGTCTGTACAGAAGCTAATGCAGACATTATGGTATGGATGCTTGCTAGGTGAAGATTACCATCTTGCAATCCTTTAAAATAATTCACATTGGCTTCTAGTTATTTCCTGGGAAGAAATCAAAGCACAGGTTTTGATTGTTAAAGTCCTGAAATGTCTGGCCCAAGAACTGCCACAGACTCTAAAACTGCCAGGGGTGGACCTCCTTTGAGTGCCTCCTTCTGCTGCTGAGAACAAGAGGATGGTTACAAGGACAGGACCTTAACAGGAATGGCACCCTTCTTGCAGTACTAAAGAGGCCTACTGTCTTGCCAGCTTGTGTAGAGATGCTGGAATATATGTTTAGACAAGTTAGACAAATTTAACTGCAGCTCCTGTTTTGGAGCATGGCTGCCAATTAAAATATCTATGTTGATTTGGTTACACTAATTTGCTCGATCCCCTAGCAAGTTGCCCACCATAGGTTAAAGGATGGATAATAAGGCCGATAAAGACCCTTGGAGAGCTGCTGCTAGTCAGAGCAGACAACATCAAGCAAGGTCTGATGACATCTATATGGCAGCTTCATGAGTATCAGTGATGAATAAATGAAAGCATCTTTTCCTGGCATAGAAGCACCATGGTGCATCAGTTGCCTGCCTTCCATGCAAGGCACAGGAGCCCATGCCTAAGGTTATGTTGTCATTATGCCATCTTTTGTATGCAGCCTTAAATTTAAAATATTCCAAGTTATATAGAAAGGCAAAGAGAAAGCCAGGGACTCAAAAATTTGAGACAGCTCAGTAAAAAGATACCGTACTTGCTTTTGATACCTCTTACAAAGGTAGTGAGAAGCTTAAAACCTCCCACCAGCTTACAGGTGGTGCAGAATTAAAACTCATAGAGACAGTGGTGCCAAACTAACAGAGGAAGCCCGGGTTCAAACCCCCAGCCAGCCACGACAGTCACTGTGTGACTCTGAGCCAATCACGTGCCCTCAGCATAACCTACCTAAACGGGTTGTTGTTAAGTGTAGAATGGGGTGAGTAGAAGCCATATGTGTACACCACTCTGAGCTGCTTGGAATGGGGGCAGGGAGTGGATAAAAATCTTGCCTTTTAAGTTGGGCAGGGAGATGAGCAATGTTGAGTCCTGCCCCAAATCGCTGCAGTGCAGGACAGGTTGCAGCTGCCGCCGGCTACCGGATATCAGCATACACAGGTATCCTTTGCAGTGTGCATGTCACCTTTGGATGGACAAGGCTAAGGAAGCCTTCATACACATGTATCATGATTTATTTTTCATTTATGAGAGCCAGCTTTACTTTCTTGCCATTTTGCAACTGGCCATGCCTCCTACTGCAATCATTGTGTGGTTTCTCAAAATTCCTAAATGTCCCTACTCATGTAAAAAGGAGCCCTGACCTAAACATTCACTCATGGCAGTAAAGACGAGATAAGCATATGTGCTGGATAGATTTGTCTGGGTCTTATTGATACTAATTTCATTTCTAGACCACCCAATAATCAAAGGTCTCTGGGCAGTTCACAAGTCATAAAATTTGCTCTTATAAGATTTTGTAATGTATCTTTATACTTTGCAAGATTCCTTCTGCAAAACTGGTATGTGTATCTTGTTGATGAAAAATAATTCAGTCAAGAGGCGCATTGCAGATTAACAATTTCTGTGTGCACATGTGAATTTCTGCAGCAATTGAACATGATCATGCTTCTAAATTGTTTGTATATATTTATTTGTCAACTAGCTGGTGTGATTAACAAGGCTTGTTGTCAGTCTGAGATGCCTGGCCAAAATGAAAGCTGAATGTTGAAGATTCTAAAGTTTCTTTCATTAGGAGGGAGAAGAAAAAATATAAATATGTTAAAAATGAATATGGACCCGAAATAGAATCCTCTGGAAAAAGGGATAGGGATGGTAAGCTGTTACTCTCAAGAAAGGCAAAATCATGCTCCTTCTTCCACTGACTCTTGACATCACTTTCTAATGGCTGCCAAAATATTGTTTTTCAGGTTTCCTGAACAATGGCCTTAGTATCTGAAATTGGAGGCATGGTGTGTGTGAAAGCTGTGCTGAAGCATTAAAGCAAAGGCAATAGCTCAGTTCAGGCAAGTCACACTGAAGGGTACAGCACAGGTCATGTATGGGTAGCCGCTGGACCATGGGTTGTTAAGCAATGGGTTCTCATGTCGTCTGAAAGCAAACTGCTAACAATGTTAACCATGAACATCCCATGACCTCATGGCCTCTCACTGGGTTGTGAACTGTGGGCAGTTCATGATTAACCATGGTTTGTACAGTCAGCACAATAACCCATATTTCAAGAACTGCCCACAGTTAAGTTGCAACTGACAACAAATCCGTACTCAATCCTTAAGTGTGGTTTATTGTGTTTTCTGAACCCAGTCACATTACAAGGGAGATTGTGGTTGTTTGCCACTGACATATCCTTGACTATGTCTAGTAAAGAAATGTGTGATGTGGCACTATGTTTCTTTTACTCTAGATTTTCAGGAAGGTACTAGGTGATCTCTTAGTTAGGCTATAACTGCAAATCAGGTAAGCCTGAGGGAACAAGGAACACCTTGTAACTACTGTTTGTTGCTAAGTTTTAAAACTGAAGTAACCTTCTCTTACTCCTGCATTTCCTCATAGCAACAGTATGCTGGGTTTTTTCTGTGAAAGGATATGAAAGAACATCCATTTTCAGTAGATTTTGGAATTTACGGGTCTAAGGGGGTCTCTTTTTCAACTTAGACATGCAACCTACCCTTCAAAGAGTCATACTGAAATTGACAGTAGTGAAAAAAGCAGAAACTATTCTAAAAGTAATTTATTGAAAAGTCAGTCACAAGAACAGATTAGCTGATCCTATCCTCTAATAAATCTAAGGAGTCCACTGGCATTTGGATGCACAGGATCATTGGTCTTACATGAAACTGAAGCCTGTTTCCAAAGATAACGATCTCAGCAAATAAATGAGTTTGAAATGCCTAAGGACAGCTAATATGGAGAGCAGAATCAAATACTCAACGCACAGAAAATCCAGGAAAGAAGTGATCTGTCATTAGACAGTGAATCCATTTGAAGACAGACAAAACTTTGGTGCTTTTGGCACACAGGGAATGGCATTCTCCAAATTGGCAAGGCTGCGACATTAGCAGGTTTGATGCCTGCTCTGCTTCAACCAAGGCTGTCTCCTGCTCTACAGGAGCTGCTTGCTAAGTAGAGGAAACATCCTGTACGGCTCTACCATGATGGATACCCAGATACTTGAACAGAATGCCTGCGTCATCCCATTGGAAGGGTGCAGGATTCTCACACATGGCACAGAAAGAAGGGTCATTAACATGAGAAGGGAGAAAGAGAGCAGCTGTATGGCTCCCAAGTGGCAGTGTGCGTATGGGTTGGGGGGCGGGGGAGCAGCACTCAGTCCACAGAGCTCACTCCGAAAGCCTCTGTTATTCTCCGTCAAATTTTCAGTTGTGTCCAAAGTCTCCAGCTTCACTGAGTGCTCTGCACCCAGAGCAAAGTTAATGTTCAGCCCCAGCCCTGATCACCCACTGAGTCTCACCCCCTTCACCTGCAACTGCTGACACTGCAGATAGTTTAAAGATGGAGAGCTTAGCTAGGTAAAAGTTCACTCCCCTTGAAGACGATTTCAGGAGTTAGCGGTAGCTCCGAGAACCGATTTTTGCTTCCAGGGGGCTTGCTCAAGGCTGCATTTCTATCAAGTTGTTGCTATTGGCTCCGCAGTTAGCGAAGGAACCGTCCCCACTTTCCCCTCCTGCTATGAGAATTGCCCAGTTTCCCTTTGGCTGCCTGCTTCACATGTGCCTGCATGACAGGCAGCTGTTAAGGGCTCTCCCAGTGGGAGGGTGGGAGAGATTTCAGCTCTTCCCTTTCCATCTCCCTGAGCAAGGCTAGCAGTGCCTAGCAGGACTGCATGGTGCAGGGCTGGGGCAGGGGCCACACTCCGTTAAAGCTGGATAGGCATCAGAGCGCTGCCTGGCACAGCTGCTCCTCGGTTCATGCAGTGAGGCTAGCCTGCTGCTCACGAGTGCCCCCCAGAGAGGCTCAGAGGAGCGGCCCGCTATGGGGCAGGTTGAGCTGGTTCAGTGACCGCGTTTGATCTGGCATGCTCCCAGTTTTGGCAGAAGCCTCAGAGAGACATGAGACTGCAGTGCAGAGTTCACAGAAAAATACGTTGGCTATTGAGGGGAAGGAAATTTGATAAGATTTTGTGTGTGAAGTACTTCGCAAAATATGAGGTACTAGCATGCTCTCTGGGCAGTAATGCTTCCCATAAAAGCCAGTTCTTGTCCAGGGGAAGGTATGAGTGTGCCTGTGCCAGAGATGCCACTAGCGCCCCTCTCTACAAGCAAAGAGAACAAACGCAGCAGTCGATGACGATGGCTGTGCTGTCTTTAGAAACGCCTCCGCCTGGGCAGTGAAGTCTTGTATAGTGACTTGCCTTGGCCCTCAATGTAGGTGATACTCATCTCTTTGCCATTAATCTCAATGTAGACAAACCCCCCCTGAGAAGAGGTGCGGCCATAGAAGAAGCGTAGGTAGCCAGCAGGAACTTGGTGGAGGTGCTGCTTGGAGTCATCCATGAAGTTGCCCGCTCCACTTAGCACGTAGCCCAAGCCAGTTTTGTCCTGCAGGTACTATTGGGGAAAGAGACAGGGGCAGAGGTAAGGCAGGATCACTGCCATGCCCCTTTTGGGTCATCCCAACCCATCATGCTGTCGCCTGGCAAAATTCCTGTGGGGAAACACTATCTGGCAAACTTCCCTTTGGGTCCAATTCCTAGCTCAGTCAGGAACTTACAGAATTGCTGTGGAAAGCTCAGGCATATTCAACTGGCATCCCAAGGAAAGTGGGGGAAATGCATACACATTTTGTTCAAGATGGGCTAAGCAGTGTGTTGCATTTAGTGCTCAGAACGTGCTATTGATAGATTGCAACCCTCCAGTGCCATGGCTTTGCTGGAGAGGACTTGCTACCTGGCCTAGAAGGGCATGGCAGTGGAGTAAAGGAAGGGGTCAGAGCAGCTTTCCAAGTGAGGCTTTTATAATGCATAGTATTTAACTCAATGCAAGGTTTTGTTTTCAACTGTTGTATACAGCCTTGGTGGCTTTTTAGCAGATAATTATAAATGAGTAGGGATGGATAAGGGCTTGGGAGGATGGAGAGAAAGAGGACATATGGCAGCAGGAGATGCACATGTGCCCAAGCTCTGCTGGTTCAATGAAGGCTTTGGTGAAGAGGAAATATGAGGAGGGTTTTGAAGGAGCCAAAATGGCTGAGTACAGAGGAGGTGGTGCTGTCCTCCCTCGACAGGGATAGCACAGCAGGTGGCACAAATGTAGGCGATAGGAGGAGGTTAGCCCCCAATCCGTGCCGCAAAGCAGAAGGCAAAGCTTATCCTTTTGCCCATTTACCGCCTTGCTGATGTGGGGAGGAGCAAATGAATTAGCGGCAACCCTTTCAAGTAGTTCACTCTCCTTCCCGTCTTACAGACTGGAGACAGAGGGAGGATGTGATAGCTACCCGGGGAGCACAGGGCCAGGCTTGGTGTGAACCATCTGCGCTGCAAGCTGTGCCCCCTTTGCCACAGGCGTGTGGCAGCAAGCTCTGAGCATGAGGACAGAACCTGGACTCACCTGCAGGTTGTGGTCATGGCCACACAAGTAGGCTGTGGCCTTGTATTTCAGCAGCAGCGGCTGCAGTTGCTTGACCAGGCATGCAGTGGGGCCGTGCTTCCCCACAGACCACAATGGGTAATGCCCAGCCACCAGCAAGTAGTCATCTTGGGAGGTGGCCATCTGCTTGCGGAGCCAGGACAGCTGGCTACGGGCCACACCTGCATCTCGTGGCCCCCGGGGCTGTTCGTTCTGGAAGTCATCTGAGTTGCCACAGATGGTCACTGTGTCTATCATGAGGATGGTGACAGTCGCATTGCTGCCAGGCACTGGGAACCTCAGTTTGTAGTAATACTTGGGGAAATGCCTGGAAGGAAAAAGCCATGGGAGAACCCTCAGAGGAGAGCAAGAGAAGGCACTCCCACTTTTCAAGATCTCTGAGGATGCTCCAGGAGCCACAGGCACTCAGTCGACAGAACAGAATGAATGGGGAGCCACCTCAGGGCTGTTCTAACTAGGCGTCAAAGGGGAGCAGGCCTCATTGGAGCCAGGAGTTGCCCCTTCACAGGGACAACTGGCTTTTGTAAATCATATAGTGCAGCTGTTCTCCTCCTCCTCACCCCAAACTTGCTGGAAACAAAGGTAGCCATTTGCACACAGGACATTGAAGGTATCTTCTCCTCCTGTATCTTCCCCATGAATGTTCCTGATTTCTCCACACTTGGCAACAGTTGACCCTCTTGCACTGTGTCAAGTAGCACACTAAAGGAATAAATACCCCAGGCCCTGTGACAATATAGTCTTACCAACGTTTGGAGATCTTGCTGTAGGCAATCTGGGCTGAGACATTTCCTGAATGGTCATGGTTTCCAGCCAGAACATACCAGGGCACCTTCCGCAATGAAGGTGCCTGGAAAACCGACTCAAAAGTCTCCTGAAAGGGAAGAGAAGGAATGATTTCTGTGCAGCATCACTCACAGGAATTTCAGTTGGTCCTTGGCTACTGCAAAGGCAGACCACTGCTTTCTGCAGCAGCATGATGCAGTTTGGCAGCCTAAATGCAAGTGTTGAGCAGTTTGGCCTGGCTGGTCACTGCAAGAATTTACTTTTTAACCAAGAAGTGGTGCCTGAATTGTCTAGTTTTCCTCTTTTCTTTTCACTCCCTGCTCCTTTTTCCTTTCCTGAGGGCAGAAACTGTCTTGCTTGCTACTGATCGTAGACAAATCACTCTTGGAACTTCTTTGGATGAAGAGCAGAGCAAAAGTGCTTTGCATAAATACTAAAATGGCTGCAGCCCCATCCAACCCCCCCACCCCCCTCAGTTTTATGCACAGTATTTCTACTACTGCTCTCCCCACATATTGTTTACTGGATGCTACTCCATCCCTCTGCTTGAAACAGGTTGCTTTCCAGCCAGGCATGAAGGGCTCCAAAATAACTGCTGGATGGGCAGTGCCTCCTTTGATGGCAGGAGCTGCAGGCCTCCTGTCGACCAGCCCAGCCTGCTGCTTTACAAGACATGCCTAAGCATCAGCGGCCCTGTGAGCTGCCCATCCCAAAGGCAGCAGAAGAATGTGCTCGGAAGGCAGGGGGCTCCCTAGACGTGTCCCTCTTACTCCTCAGGGGCAGGGAAATATTCCAGTGTGCACGCCCTTTAGTGTGTCTCTTCAGTTGGCACCTGCCTCCTACCACTTTGCTGGGGTACCCCACTTTTTACCTGCTGTGCAGAGGAGCTAGCACAGGCCCAATTTTAGATTCACTTTTTCAATTACATTTCCTTCAGTAGGTCTGGGTTTTGGATTTTGTGGCACTGGCCCTCAGATACCCCCACTGTGACCAAGACCAGTCAACATCCTCGAGTGCTTCAGCTGCCTTCCCTTCCCCCTCCCCACCAGGGAGTCACAAGGCAGTCTCCGTCCCCTGCTACCTGGAAGCGCTTGTCGTAGACATCATGGACGCCATTATAGTAGAAGTTGTCTCCGAGGGACAAGATGAAATCGGTTCCCAGAGAAGCCACAGTGCGCCCCATCTCCTTGGCTACAGCTGCTTCACGGGCGGTGTAGAAAGGAGCATTGGGGAGTCCACCCCAATCCCCCACAGCAATGAAGCGCAGGGAGGAGCCAGCATGAAGCCTGGGGGTGGCAGCTAGGAAGAGCCCCAAGAGAAAGAAGAAGCTCATCCTCTGAAAGAGAGCAGGGAGATGATGAAGCCGAGGTGCATCTATTATGGAAAATGCATTGGGAAAAGGCCACCCAATGGCCCCCTATTTACACTAGGGGGCCCTCTCCCCAACAAGCAATGAGCTCCCTTCCCATCTCCCTGTCATAACTCACTAAAGAGCTTCATTCTACTTTTGCTCTGAACACCCATTTCTGAAAGAGAATCCTATGATGTGCAAAAAGTATGCCATGCTTATTAAACAACCATGCCCACTAAGAGATGTCATTTTAGTTTTTCTACATTCCTTTTGCACACTCTTGGAGATGTAACAAATAACACCAAGAATGACAGAGACACCAATACATTATTCTGGAAATGACACTTGATTCTCCCACCCCCATGGTTTTTATGTTGCTGCCCACCCCCTTGCCCACCCCCTTGCAATCAGAGACACAGGGGTGTCCTCCAAAAGTCATAGGCGACAACTGTCACCCCCTTTGGCCATGCTGACTGAGGCTATGGCAGTTGTAGTCCAAAACGTCTGGAAAGTGCCAGGTCACCTACTGCTGTTATGCACATTTCTTCTGAGTAAACATCAATGAATCCAATTTCCTGCACAGATGCATATAGAATATACCTAGCAGCCAAAACAACTCTCTTTTTTTTTAAAAAAAGCAAATGAATTTCTGTTCAAAGTTGTGTTTTTATTCATATTTGCAAACACAGAAAATTCCAGTACCATTTTGATATCATTGCATTAAATTGAAAAAGTTATGAAAATGCATTTACATCAATATGCAGTCATCTACTCTCATGCTGTGTTGAAAAAAAAGCCACCCCTCATTCCAAGATTACATTGACCAGCTATTTGCACTTACAATGCAAAAACACACACTTAGGACAACTTCTGCTGTGTTGAATGCTGCTTATTCTCCATAAAGCATGCATATGGCTGGCTCTAGACACCTAGCACAAAATCTAGTGGCAGCATGGCCAGAAATGCAAATCAGAAGAGGAGATGACTTTTGCAAATGTTCTACCTCTGTAGTTCATGTACAGTATTTTGTTCTGTGAATGGCAACATCCAACCCAGGTTTGGTACTGAAAGAAAGACAAGAGTTTTTCCTTTTTCACAATGAATCATTTCTGCCTTTTGCCTGAAGCACATTCCTCTGGTAGACATTCAAAAGTTACTTCGCTTCCCATATCTAAGGACTCAGTTCTTCATTTGTAGAAGTCAAGAGGCCCTTACATGGCACAACCAACTAATGGTGGTTGTCAGAATAAAATATATGGAACACTTAGCGTCTTTTCCACTATAGGTAGTCCCTGGGTTACAGATGAGTTCCATTCCTGAGAATGTTCTTATGTTGATTTGTATGTAATTTGGATCACACGAGTAAGCCAAATTTTTGTTTTCATATATGTGTATATGTTACCTTTCTATGCATATAAAACACTTAAGAAACATTTCAATATTCAGTAAAGCATCTTAAACACAATACAGCATTGTAATAATGATGATAATACAATCATAATAAAGTAACTACAGATATGGATGGATGGATACTATGGATATGTATGGATGTGTGTAGGTAAACAGTAATATAAAAAACAAATAAAAGAAACAGAACATTTTGGAGGTGGCATTAAGCCTAACATTAACTGATGATGATGGAGATGCACCTGGTGCGGAAGAGTCAGGATTTGATTGTGCTGCTGGAGGCAGGGGGGTTAGCACTGCAGTTGCTTTCTTGAGATAGGCCTCCAGGGTTGTTTGTACACCCATTTTGTTTTCTCACGATAAATGGCCTTCTAGCAACTGAGGATTTGGTTACGAGGGGAAATGCTACAGAAAAAGCAAAGGGGAACTCAGTATGCTCAAGCCAATGGCCAAAATGCAAAGCTGTGAATACTTTAGCAGCCACTGATGCATCAGTAGTTCCCTAGAGATATGTCACATTGTCTTCTAGAGATAGCTGCAACTATCTGCAACTATTTCAGAGGAAAAGCCATGAATAACCCTAGTGAAAAGCTGTGACTATTCTAGGGAACTATGGGGCCACTGATGACATGTCAAGAAATCCATCACATAGTTCTCTAGATATAGTCACAGCTTATTGTTAGAGATACTCATATTCAGATAGGGTTATCGCAGTACGGGTTGTTCATAACTTGGATGTTCATAACCCAGGGACTTTCTTATACTTCCATTATTGCAGAGTTCCCCAACTGTCTTTGCTATGAACCCTGTCAGGAATCAGAGAAAGAAAGGGCATTAGCTCAGCATGACAAGAACTTTATAACAGTGTAGAAGAAACAAGGAAAAGAAGCAGGAAGCTACATTTTTGCCTGTAAGCTTGTGACCTTGAGTCCCAAGATAAGTAAAATGTTGCTGCTAGTGGCAAGGTTTGTTTATAAAAACAATGAAGAGTGAGTGACTTGGAAAATTACTGTGTGCTTAGTTATTTCTCTAATGGTTTGCAACTTGTATACATTTCTGGCAGACTGCCAAGCAAATACAGTGTCTTGAGACCTGCTCTTCTGTGTACTCTCACACATGCAAGTTTTTCTGTAGTGCCATTCTAATAAAACCGTTACCTTTGTTTAACTGCCATACCTGTTTGTTTACCTAGGCTCTGACAGCCTCACATTTTCCATGCATACGCTTACACTTTATCTCAAAACTTGGGATACTTAGATTGTCTTATTGCCTTATTTTGCACGTTAACACCATCAGTGAGGCTTTATTTTCTTGCTTAAATGGACAAATTGCAATTGGCCTGCAATCAATCATACTTCTTAGCCCATTTTATCTGCAAATGTTTCTTGATATCTTTGCAAACTAAATATTTCCCTCCATTTCATCAGCAATTTATTACTCAGCGGGTACACTCAAAAGGTCTTTCTGCATGCAGCATGCCATTACTGTAGAAACCTTGTACAGACAGCAATTTTCTTCAGATGTTCTGCTCTACAAAACAACCCAAGATTTGCCTGGGGATTAGTGCAAGAACACATATTCTAGGAGTCAGTATATGCATTAACTCACATTCATTTCCATGGGATTTATGGAGGAGAAAATCCCACTAGATTAGACTGTGCCCACTGACATTTACATACCAATCCATGCCTCAGATGAAGGCATGTACATACTTTTACAACTGGCAGAATAAGTCTTCCTATCCAAAATGCTGAAATCCTTCCTGAGGTATCCTTTGCTTTGATACTCAAGTACTCCTGTGGTAAATACATCTATTACTCCTTTTAAGTGGGGTTAGGGTTAGGGAAAACCAATTCCATGACTTGGCAGTCTTATTATTTTCCAGATTGTTTTACATATGGGATTTCTCAAAAGCATTAGGCTTTGTAAGCCTATCTGGGGCTGCAATCACAAACAACTTGCTTGTGAATAAACTCACTGAACATGCAAACCTGAATGGCATTGTGCTGCATGCCTCTAATGATAATACTATAGCAGTCCCAGTATTATAGCAGTACCATGATAGAAAGGAGAAGGACAACTGCTTTTGATTCCTGGCAAGAGAAAAAAACAGATATAAATATAATATTTTAAGTAATATAAATGATATTGCACTGCCTAGGGCACTGGTCTTCACTAAGAACCTGCATGCCTAAGGATTCGTGTGAGAGCTGGTGATGGAGTAGAACAACTCTGTCTAATTTCCAAAGTGACAGAGATCCATACCAGGCATTCCTGCTTTTGCAGTTCAGTCAAGGACTCCTGGGTATAGGAATCATTTTTAGTCATCTCTAGTTTTACAGTGTCTTACAAGAAAAGCAACAACATTGGTTTGAATTGAAGGATTCTACATACATCATCTGCACAGAGAACGTGTTGCAAAGAATTCAGCTAACTTTCTCAGCAGGTTTCACAACTTACTTACCCATTTGCTTGAAAATAAAGACAGAGAGGATCAGGTTGCAACTGTTCCAGTATCCCTCCAGCTGGTTTCCTTTCAACGTTTCTACCTTTACATTACATTTACTATTATTTGCTTTCATTTTGTTCTTTGCCCTTCTTAGTGTAAAGTCACTTGTTCCAGGAAACCTTGATGTTCTTTCATAGCCTCCCTGCTTCCGTGACTCAACCACAGTGGGCTCATCCTGTCTGTGCCTGCCTGGTAATTGGGTAGGTAGTGTCTGTTTTCAGCTTGTGTTAGTCCCTCAGCATTAGCTAGCCAAAAGGCCACCTCCGACTAAAGGGCTTGCCTTCAGGAGTCATTCCAAGCCGGAGAACTGGGAACAGGTTCATCTGGAAATGGGGCTGAACATCATGGAGGAATCAGCACACAGGATGGGAAGCCAACCAAGGCTCCCATCACCAAGAGAAAGAATTTGATGAAACTGTTGCTAACAAGGTCAGCAGCTGTGATTGAGAGTGAAGAAGAGGGACTTACCAAATCTGTCTTCTCCACTAACCTTTCTGGTCAAACTTGGTGCTCCGATCAGCTTATCCTGGGCATGCGAACTCAGCACCACTCTCCGCGGTGAGCATCTACTGTCCCAGTGCAACTGAAGCACTCTGCTGTGATTGGGAACACTTTATCGGGCACTAAAAATGGGAAATGGAGTGTGGGAAAAGGAGGGGTTTCCCTCTTGCACCAATCAGGGGAGTGCAGGAACAGAAAAGCTGAGTGTAACGGAGAAATAAATGCAGTGATGACCCACATGTGGTACTTCCTTCTCTTAACAGCCTGATGTTAAAGTCATTCGTTAACCTGCCTTTACTGCAGAGCTGATAAGAGAAAAAACACAGGGGCACTCCAGCCTCTTCATCCTCAGCTACCCACATTGGACAATACCTAAGAGTAAAAACGTGAATAAGACCAGCAGATTGGATAGAAACAATTCAGCCCTGGGTGTTACTGGAACTGGAAAAGACGCCCCCCCCCCCCACAACCCAGGTCCCACTCCGCACAGGGCCCACTCTGCATAATTTGCTTAAAACAGACCATGGGTTAAACAATTCTCCCTTAACCCACATTTGTTAGTTTCGCACATTATAACCCCCAATCAAGGGTTACCTATTCACAATAGTGGCCACATACACTGCAGCCTCCCTATAGGTTACATAGGCCATGATGGGCTGCTGTGTCATACAAACAGCTCCACTGCCAGCTTTATCAACTCCCCTTTAGTAGCCTTAATAATACCTCAGATGTTTCCTAAACTTGCCTCAAAATTCAGGGGTAGCTCTGTTCAGTACCAGACATAGCGGAGATGGGCAAGCAAAAGTTTGGCACAGGGTTCAAAATTCTGCATCCTTGCAGAAGTGAAAGGATAAGTATTCATTCTTTGTTAAAAATCAAGTGTCAGCCCCTGTTCTTGACCCCTCCCTCCCTTAGCAACATAATAAAGGTGCTCACAAAGGGGGCAATGTCTCCTCTTAAAATTTCTCCTAAGGGCCTTGACCGGCACGCTCTCACTGAACGCACACGAGGCCCATCCATTTGATAATGAGATGAATTGGAGGGGACCTACCAGGTCTCACACATCATGTACTGGGGCAGTATCTCCAGGAAGAAGCCCCGGGGGCAGGCATGGCTCAAAGATCCCTGGGCAGAGAGAGCACACTGCCACCTGCAAGGGCTGGGAGCAGTGTAAGCAGTGAGGAATAGGAGCTCATCATGACCCCAGCTCCCCGCACCCCAAAGGGCACCACTTCTTCATTAGGATTCAAGCCCATGCCAGTGAGCTCCACTGAACCCAGTGCACGTACTTTGGTTAACCCGTAAGACACACTGAGCTTTAGCACAAGGTCTCCAGCCCACTGAAATGCAGTCTTTAGCTTTCCATTAGCTTTAAATCTCTCTAAGAGTGTTACCATCTGAACTGCAACCCTGAAGTAGGAACCCCCTCTGCAAAGGAGAGCAAGGTATCCAACCTCTCCTTGATTATTGTCCTTGTTCCGGCTTGCTTATCGTCCTTGTTCTGACTTTGCTAATGATAGCCAAACAGAAAGCCCTTTTATCATCTTCACTTGCATCATCTCTCCTGCTCTAAGCAAATCCCGGAGCTGTGCTGGCCCACGTGGCCCCTCTGCTTTCCGTGTGGGTGGGGTGCAGTGGTCCATGAAAGGAAAAGTATGGGGCAGGCTCCAGAGTGAGGGCTCCGGGCGGCCACGACACATGACTGCCTTTCCGCAGGTCCTTCCTTGCTTCAATTCCAGGCCTTCCAGATCTTGCTGATCAGCACTCTCCTGATCCAGCTCTCTCCTGATCTAGCACTTCCAGCACTCTCCTGATCAGGGGATATTTTCCAGATACTCCCAACTTTCTCATCATAATGGAATATTTTTATGGAAAGAAAAAAGATGGAAGTGACAGAGGAAAACACGAGAGTTACAAGTAGGTTATGACCATGTCTGGACCCCCACATACAATTCTGAGAAAGAAGCAAGGAACTGCATATGGAGAGCATATGGAGAAACAGCCTTGTTGTAGAGCACCCTTTTCGATCTGGCATCCTGCAGCTGCTTGCCACCCCTGGTTGCACCTCGCTCATCTTTCTCAGCATTTCTGGCCCATAATGCACACTTGTGCCCTGTGTGATATTTTCCTGCACATGCCCATTCATGGGCTCCTCTTTTCCCCACTCCTGTTTTCCCCAGTGACTCTTCCCCTCCCCTCCTCTCCCTTCCATGCCTATATGTTATTCTATAATAACCTCCCTAGAGGTATGTTCTGGAAAGCATGTGTCACCTTAAGAGGAGGAAGTTCATGCTCATTTAGGAAACGAAGAGTAGAAGAAAAACAGCACCTTATACAGGAAACCGACAAAACCACTGCCTGTATTGCACATGCCTCTGCTAAGCAGGAGAACCCACCCAGGCATTTGCCTAGAGTCAAGGTCTGTGATATCCTGGCCTGCCCCTTCTCTCCTGCCACCAGAATGACCCTTTTCTTCCCTCTGAGCCAGCATCTGCAGCCTCGGGAAGCAACTGGAGCAGTTCTTTCCCTGCTGGCAGGGGTAGTGGGCACAGGAGGGGCACAGGACCTCAGAGTTCCCCTTCCGAGGTTTTAGCAGTGCCCATGGTCTCCAAAGGGACATTTTGAGTAATTCTATGGTCCTGGGATGGTTTCCCAGGGACCCTAAGATTGCTTTCTGAACCTCTACATCAGAGAGAGTAGCAAACCCTTGTCAGCCCAGGGGCTGAGTTCAGTATCAGAGATGCTCTTGGGGCTGGTGGGTGGGCCAAAGGCTAAAGCAGAAACAAAACCAGCCTACTTTAGCTCATGCTCTTACTGCTAGTAATTAAGCCAAAGGCTTTTCAAATTTTTAGAAACTGAGAAAGGATTGGTGGTTGGAGAAAGGGGGGGTGGGGCTGGAAGGGGAGGCTGGGAATGGCAAGCTTCTCCAAAGGAACTGCGGAGATTGCAGTTTGGGAGGGGTGCTGAGGATCTCAGACAGAATATGCATCTCACTCTCAGGATATCATAGAATCATAGAGTTGGAAGGGGCCAGAGGGCTATCATGTCCAATCCCCTGTTCAGTGCAGGAATCTAAGTCAAACCATCCCTCTCAGATGGCTGTCCAGTTGCATCTTGAAGGCCTCCTTTGTGTGGAAGAGCCCACAATCTCCCTAAGTCGTTGGTTCCTTTGTTGTACTGCTCTAACAGACTGGAGATTTCCCTCCATATCTAGCCAGAATTGGGCTTCCTGTAACTTGAGCCTGTTATTCTGTGTCCTGCACTCTGGGATGAAGAGATCCTGTCCATCTTCTTTGTGACCACCTTTCAAGTACTTGCCCTTCAGTCTTCTCTTCTGAAGGCTAAACATGCCCAGTCCTTTCAGGCTCTCCTCCCAGGGCTTTGTTTCCAGTCCCTAACCATCCTTGTTACCCTCCTCTGAACTCTTTCCAGCTTGTCTGCATATTTCTTACAAAGTTCTTGGGGAAGCTAACAGACCTTTTGGTTGGTCCAGTCCAGGTTTTCTCCTTTCAGAGAATCACAAACCTTTTCCTGCCAGACAAGGGCATGCACCCATGCTCCTGAGTCTGGCAAAGAACAACATAAGCCAAGCAGGCCATATGACCCCATGATGGGGCCCTGTGACCCAGGCAGAGAACAGCTACTGCCACCCGCACAGAAAGTGTCTGCAGAGCAAGGACAGGTCTAAAGCACAGATGACGAAAGGCCTGTGCATGCTATGGATCTCTAATCTTTGAGTTGGTGTGCGTGTGGAAAGACCCTCTTGTGATCACGAGCAGGCTTTGTGAGAAGAGGTGGTGGGAGCAGGTGTGTGCATGTGTGCACGTGGATGAAGCTCACCTCTGCCTTGTGTACCAACTCCCTGGATGAGTCACCTTCCCAGCTCTGAGGAAGAGAACTAGACCAATACTGCCCCAAGGTCCCCAGTCTGCTTGGGAAAACTCCTTCCCAGATAAAAAATACTGGTAATCTGCCGAAGTCATAGCAAACATCACGCACCCTCTCTGTCTTGCCTTCTCACTAGTTCCTCCCTAGAGCAGCCTTCTTCAACCTGGAACCTTCCAGTTCTTTTTCACTACAGCTCTCATCTTCCCATCTGCAAGACCATACAGCAGTGGTGGAGATCATATGACTCTCCAGATATTGTGGGACTCAAATTCCCATTTTCCCCAGCCAGCATTGGCAGGGAGCTATAGTCTAATGATGTTGGGAGAGAGGCAGGGTCCCTGGCCCTGGCACCCCAGCGGAGACTGGCTGGAAATGTTGGGTTTGCAGTCAAACACACATGGAGCCCCTTAGGATGGAACACCTGGAGGACATCCCTGGAGCATGACAGGCCCACGGAGGGATAATCAAAGGTCCAGCCATCTTTAGTTTGTTCAGAAAATAGATATTTTCCATGTGTTAGATCTTCCACAGCGTTGTGTTCCATTTCTCTGGGTATGCAAGTATGCCATATGTGCATGCTTCACACATAATTGTGCACACAATTGTGATCACTTCTTTCGTAGGTTAAATATACGTCTGACTATTACAACACTACCATCCTATTTGGAGAGTAGCCCCTGAAGATCCCCCACCTAGATGGCCTTCCCTGCCCTGGGCTACATTGTCTGTGGTGATGGTCATACCAGCACTAAATCTTCGTGGCCATACAGGACATTTAACTGGAAACTGCAAGGCAAGCTGCATTTCTGTTTCAGAAATGTGTGCTACACGTCTGTGTGGAGATTCAGCAGGGCTCTTTTCTCCTCTGTTAAGGAAACTTAATTTCACCGGAACCAAAAGGACCAGCAGTAGGACAGCAATGATTTTTCCTACTGTTGGCACTTATCAGTGCTGAACAAATTTGCAGATATTACTAAAATGGGGGCAGTGGCCACAACTGAGGAGCAGGTACTCTGGATCCGGAAGGATCTGGACAGACTATGGAAGTGGGCAGGAGACAGCAGGATGGTGTTCAATGTGGATAAGTGCAAGGTCTTGAACTTGGGGCATAGGAATGGGTGCCATAAGTACAGGTTAGGGGACAAGTGGCTGGACAGCAGCACTTGTGAAAGGGACCTCGGGGTGCTGGTTGACTGCAGGCTAAACATGAGTCTGCAGTGTGATGCGGTGGTCAAGAGGGCGAACGCCACCCTTGGTTGCATAGCCAGAAGTGTGGCTTCTAGATCGAGAGAGGTATTACTACCACTCTATATGACTCTGGTGCGCTCACAACTGGTGTATTGTGTTCATTCCTGGGCTCCACATTACAGGAAGGATGTAGCTAAGTAGGAATCAGTGCAGCATAGGGCCACAAGGATGATGGCCAGATTGCAGGGAAAGCCATGTGAGGTGAGAGTGGGGGAACTGGGTCTTTTCAGCCTGGAAAAGAGGAGATTCCAGGGGATCTGTTGCTGTATAGGTACATGAGAGGATGTTATGCAGAGGTGGGTAGAGACCTGATTTCCCCTGCAGAGGAGGGAAGGACATGCTCCAACAGAGCAAAGCTCAGGGAACCAAGGTTCCATTTAGATGCCAGGAAGCACTTCCTGACAGTTAGGACCCCGAGGGGGTGGAATGGGCTTCCACAGGAGGTGGTTGAGGCCCCATCGGTGAGGCTGTTCAAAGATAGGCTAGACATGCACATGGTGAGCATGTCGTGAGCAGGGCCGGCTAGAGCTGGGGGTCAGACTAGATGGCCCGGGAGACCCCTTCTGACTCACTCTGTTTCTCTGTTTCTCTCAGGCAGGTGTCCCCATAGCTACACATCCACATAGAGACATCAAATGCAGTCAGCTGTGTCAAGCCATATCAATAAGCCACTTCTAGCACTTCTCATTTCCACTCAGAGTGTTTGCTCCAGACCGCTGTAAGGATTCACAGTGAAGCTCCGAGGATGTAGCAGATGATGCCACTGACCACACTAATAACAAATCCCGGTGCTTTGACTGGCTCCACTGCGACACTGCATGTGTGGTAGCAGCTCAAGACCCAGGTGTAGGTGTGTTTGGCCAGGAAAGGAATGTGACATCAACAGCCTTGCCAAATACACCCTTCCTGATCTCAGTGGCTCATTGTCAATTATTATTTTGGCTCTGTGCACACACCCTTTCCCATTAGGGGATTCACTATATATCCCACACTGCAGTCTAGTGCTGTGTGGCTCCATTGTTTCTTTGTGAAGATACCTAAATAAGGTTCAGACTATATTTGGAAGGGCTGGATATCCCATTAGCTGGATTATCAGATAAACATAAAAGGACCAATGGGGAATCCAAGGAGGAAGCTACAGGCTCTTACAGAGGACAAGTTATCCTTTCCTGACATTTAGAAATTGGATGTAACAGAGCAGGCTAGTGGCCATGCTCCATTCATTTCACCATTTTGAATTCCAAGTTCCAGGCATACCTCTCTCCTGCTAAGCCCACGTCTAATACCTGTTTGCCACCATAGGTTCAGATTGCAGGATGCACTTGCATGCAACAACAGGTGCCTGTGTAAACCAGCTGCTGGGGAACATGGACAGCAGAGTCCATGAGCTGCTGATGGAGTTCTACAGGCATCTGCCTGGCCACTGTGTCAGCAGAGTGCTGGACTTGGGGGAGCCAGCTCTGATCCAGCAGGGCTCTTTTGATATTCTTAAGAGTCCAACATTTAGTGTAGAAATGGGATTCAAGGGAATGCTGGCACTTCATTTTCAGGAAAATAACAGCATGGACCAAAAGGTGCAGCACTTCAAACTGTAGCAATAGCTCTAACAGGTTTCACCATGTTTCTTGTGGAATGTAAACCAAGGATGGGGAGGTGGGCAGCAGGTCATGGTTCTCTCAGAGCCCATCAGGTACGAGGAGTGATAGGCCAGGGGCATGTGAGCTGGATGGCTCCTGTGCATGAAAGGAGCCAAGTCATGAGTGTAGCCAGCTGGAGCTGGGGTCAGACTAGATGGCCCAGGAGACCCCTTCTGACTCACTCAGTTTCAAGTGGAGTAGTGCTCCGAGTGCAAGACTAGGGCTTGGGAGCGCCCGTTCTGATCCCACCTCCACTGTGCAGCTCAGTGGCTGTGGGCCAGTCACTGACTCTCGCCCACAGCTCCCTCACAGGGTTCTGGCAGGAATCAAACACAGAGAAGGATTAGGTAAGATGCCTTGGGGTTCCCTGCAGGAACAAGCAGGAGGAGGGTGGGGGGGGATGATGATGACAAAGACCAGCGAATGTGTATTTTCACCATGCAGATATAATCCGTCCCTGACTTGTACACATTTTCCAGGCAATATGCATGTTCTCCAACAGGCCTTGAGAGATTTGTGTCTCTCTCTGAACGGCATTTCATACACACTCTGGGTATTTTGCGTAGTGGTCAAGAGGCCATGGGAATGTGCCCATCCATCAGTAAGGGTCTGTCAATCCCTTGGACGTTATACAAAATCTTCAACAGACTCTGGGGAATGTGCGTATCTTGACTGCATTTTGTACTTTTTGTAATATGGTACTCCATATTACTTTACAGTATCTGTGTGCACAAAAACCTGTCTGTCCCAATGGCTGGGCCTTTCAAGACAACGCAGTCGCTTTCAAGATGCAGAAATCCTTCAACATGGACCTGTCCCTCAGGTACGTAACCCCTGTAAGTTGCACAGAGTTCTGGGAAACCTCCTAGGTCACAGACTAAGTTCCTGCAGGGTGCTCACCAGGGCTGTTTGGCCCTGTCTTTGCCCTGCATTAGTGCTCCCCAACCTGGAGCCCTCCAGATGGGACAGACCTCCTCATCCATGCTGACTAGGGATGATAGAAGTTGTAGTTTGATGAATCTCAGGTTGGGGAAGGCTGCCCTGCATGAACTGATCCTATGCCCAGATTGGGGCATAATTAGTACATGCACAACAGGGAAGGGCTGCAGTAGTGTGCGAAATGTCTCCCAGGGAAGTTTGCCTGCTCTTAATGATCTTCTCACTCAAAATCACCGGGGGGCTCAAGAATTCCTGATGAGACCATCTGGAACCCATTTACCTGGGCAGAGCCCTCACAGCCTCTGGCTCTGCAGAAGAAACAAAGCTGAAGTATGCCCACCCGCCCATCCCCAGACGCCAGCACCTACCCAGCTCTTCCCGCAGGGTTGCCGGGACAGAGGCTCTGCGCCTCACATCCCTTCTTCCTTGTAGCCTCCCTGTCCCTGCTGCGCGCACCACAGCTGCTCCTCTCTCGGCATGCATCTTTCCAGCACTCACAGCACGGCTCCTGCCAAGACAAGAGTCATTTTAAAAATGACTAATTCTGCACAGATTGGGAAGTCAGGCTTCAGATGCAGGATGTACCCAGTGCGCACTTCAGCAAGATGCTCACCAGCCTATGTGCACAATTTAGTCTGACAGCAGACCTCGAACTTGCGGGGCATGGCACTGGCTCTCCTTCTCTGTGTGCTCATAGGGGATTGCTTCTGAGGGGACCTGTGTCGGATTGGCCACGTGAACATGGGTGATCCGTTTTGCCTACACACTAGTCCTCTGTACACATGAGGGCTAAATAAGATGCGGAGGGTGAAAGCCACATACAAAATTCATGCTGGAGCTCCAGAGCATGTAGTAGCTCTGAAAGCCTTCACACACATCTTTCTTGCTCAGAACTGCAGGGGGAGAAGTGGGAACGCTGCAGCTGGGGAGGTGCCTCCAGCCCTGGCAGACCTCCCTGCTCCAGAGCAGACTGGGATATGGGAGCTGCTCTCCCCACATTTTTAACTCTTGTGCATGCAGGCCAAGCCTTTCTGAAGTTCTGTTAGCCCTTGTTCAGATCTGAAACCTGTATAGGGTGGGATGCAAAGCCCCTTTTAGCCAAAGGGCTACTTTCTCTTCCAGAGAAGTATTGGGTGCTGCATTCCAGCAGTGGGTAGGAAGGAAGGCAAAAGGCGCAGGTCCAGAAAAACAAAAAATGCAGGCCTGCCTTTGCTGTACTAAAGCTCTTGCTGCTGGTGGCTCAGCTTTAAGAGAAGCACACTAACCTGTCAGAACTGGGGAATGAACCACATACACAAAAACTGGCCATCAGCAGGGGGAAAGCAGACAGGGCCATTTGGAGAACACTGGGATTTGTATGGGACTCCAAGAAGACCTGAGGTGCTGGCCTCCATGGGTGCCTGGACGGGCAAGTGCTGATAGCCTCAAGGTGGGTGCTTGTAGGTTGCTTTCCCACTGTAGCCTTTGTGGCAGTGGAGCGTGGCGCTGAGGGGGCCCACTGGAGCCGTCGCACTGTGCCCAGTGGCAACTGACTCTGTGGGAGAGTGGCCGGCGGGGCTCCCTCCAGCATCCGGCATCCTCTCTTGGGCACGCTCTGAGGACACCCTCGGGGGAGCCCGTGAGCGGAGTGATGGGCGGTGGGGAGGCAGAGAGGCATGCGGCGGGAGACACAGTGGGGCTGAGAGGTGGGCTGGGGATAGCCATGTCAGGGGTGTCCATGAGGGGTGGCTGATGTGGCCAAGGTGGACGCCTGGCCTCATGCTCAGGCAGCAGCACAGCTTGTGCCAGCCTCTTTACTGGCTTCCTGTCCCCAGTTGCATCGCAAACTGTGCATGTAGACAAGAACCATCTCATTTCTCTTAGACAACAGCAGGAAACTCCTGGACCTCCCCCCCCGCCCCGGCCCCAACCCCTGCTGCCAATGCAATGGAGTGCAGTGCCACCCAGGGGTGCCAAAATTCTTTGAAAATCCATTCAAAATCTTTCCCCACTATATACCTTTATTAAAAATACATTCTAATGCATTTTTCAAATGTAATCACAAGTTGGGGGATTTTCAGCCATTTCTCCCCCAAATGTGACCCTGCTTGTGTTCGAATTTCGAGCTTCAAACAGGACTCGAGGTGCAAACTGGCACAAAACGCTCCCATAGCCCTTGTGCTCCTGAGGGGCTCCTGGCTCCTGACACCATCGGTCACAACCGCCGTGCAGCTATTCCGTCTTTGCCTTCTTAGCAGATTTGTTTGTGGAAAGAAATGCTGGGCAAACGTGGGATAGATACAAGTGGAATGGGATCATGCCTCCCTCTCACCTCTTAAATTCTATCAGAGAAGCAGGGCAATTGCACAATAAAAGCCTGGTCCAGAAGCATCCATATGGACTAAATTTAGGTGGTAGTCCATCCTAAGGCTCTGGTGAGTCCCCGTTTCTTCTGGTGGGCCCCTGGAGTTGGCACATGTTGGGCAAGCTTTTCTCAAAAGACCTGCTGACAGGTTCAGCTGCAGCTCTGTCATTCCCTTTTGTGGGCACAACCAGAAGTGCCAAGTAAGGACCAGAGGTCACTAGCCCCAGACGTATCCTCCCTCTCCATCCCCAGCATCCTTTCTCGGGGAAGGGAAGAAGCAGAATGAGCATTTTGTGGGCACATGCTCTGCACTTGACTCTCTCTGGAAAGGGAAGCCAAAGGAAGGTCAGTGTTCCAGTCTTCCCTTTCTTGGATGCCCCCTTTCAAGGTGGGGTGGAGGGGAACCCAGGGAGAGGAGCATCAGCTGGGTGCCAGGCAGAATTGCTCAGGGATCAGGCTGCTCCGTGGGCTGGCTCCCAGTTCATGAGGAGGAACCAAGGCAGGTCAGATCCTGTTTCCTCTTGCTTCATAGACGCAGGCTGCTCTCCAGGATTCAGTTGCTTTTAAGGGCAAATCTAGGCAGGGCACAATTCACGCAATGGAAAACAGCAGCTCTGGGTCACAACCCTGCTGCAGTGGGCAGCAGGGGCGATCTTTGGACAGTTTCTCTGTGCTGGCCTCTTCCACGCTTGACCTATTTGCATTGGGAGGAAAGCTCCCATATTTGTGGAATACGTGGCTAGAACAGTGGGGTCTGGCTAATCACAGTAACTATCACTTAGCACTGTATGGTCAGTGTGAACCACCAGCCCTGAGTTTGGTCTGGGGCTGAGGGGGGTTGCAGGCCAACCGCCTCCGAGGGCCACAAGGTTCGAGGCCTGCCCCGCCCAGTGTCGCTTATGGAAAAGGATGGTTATGTCAGAGAACTGCAACACTCATTCCCGCCCCTTTCCCTTTATAGTTGGGCCTTGGGTGGCAATTCTGAGCAACCAGCATGTGTGCAGTTGGAATGAAGGACTGGCCTTCCGCTGCTCCCAGAGCTGGCCACAATGCCGCCAAGCCTCTCACAGGTCCCTCCGTACAAGGCACTCACACTGAATGACCCCTTAGTGAAGGCAGAAGTGGGGTGCATGGGCAGCCAGTCCCATTGAGAACTACCTTCAGCTCTCAGGCATTGGGTTTTTACTGGCTCTGCTCCTGTGTCTTTAGCAGCAACCTGACAAATAAAGCAGTAAGGCCATTTTGCTTAGGATGAAAAGCAAATCTTCCTAAGAATGAAATAAGGATGATAAACAAATCAAACTTTTCCTACTGCTTCATCTGCTAGATCAGGCTAAATTTTACAAACAAAACAGGAAGACCAGAACAAAGGCAGTGCTGCTTCTTTTGCCTTCATCCCACCCAGCCACCCCACCTCTTTTTCTGGCAGCAACACGCTTCTCTTTTCAGGGATGCACCCAGCTCTCCCTCTGCTCCCCCAGTGACTCGGCCTTTCCCTTCCTTGCAGGACCTCGTGGATCTGACATTGTGACTTGGCAGCACTGAATCACAGGGCAAGAATCTTTCCAAGAGGTGGCATGCACTGTGGACAAGGTCACCCTTTTATTCCTGATGGGTTAATCCAAGGTAAATACAGTGGTACCTCGGCTCATGAATGCCTTGATTCACGACCAAATCAGGTCACAAACAAAAATTTCATGACAATTTTGATGTGGGTCACGAACTCCGCATTGGGTGGCGACCATGATCACGGCCATCTCCCCACCCCACCCGAGTGGGGAGATGGGCATGATTGCAGTTGCGTTCGTGCAGGGAAGATGTGCGTGATCATGGGCGCACTCCTGTAGGAAAGACGGGCACAATCTTGGCCATCTCCCCCCCCCCCCACAACCAGTACGATCACAGCCATTTCTCCAGCCCCTCAAGTGGGGAGATGGCTGTGATCATGCTTGGGATGGGGGGGGGGGGGAATGGCCAAGATCGCGCCTGCCTCTCTCTCCCCCAGCGTGCCAGATGACGGGCACGTACAGGGATGACAGGCGTGATCCCAGTTGTGCTGGAGGGAGGGGGGCAGGGAGATGGCCATGCTTGTGCTCGGGGTTGGGGATGGGGAGATGGCCATGATCTTTGTTGTTCTTTGTCACTTTGCTTCACATTTTTCTGATTAAAAATGGTTACAGAATGGATTAACCTTATGGGGACATTTAACTTGGCTCACGACCAATTTGGGTCACGACTAGTGTCCTGGAACGGACTAAGTTTGTGAGCCAAGGTATCACTGCATGACTTTCTAATGCCAAATCACTCACTCAGCTGAAAATCACAACTCTGAACATTCAGATACACATTTAAAGGATGGGGGGCAGAGAGTCTTTATTGACTGTGACTTTTCACAGTCATTGAAACACTAGCCAAGGTGGCTATGAGGGAAGAGGCAGTCTCCCAGATGACCAGCCCTGTTCCCATGTGTTGGGAAAATTTGGATACATCCTGTCAGAAAAACATTACTTCTGTGTGCGTTTGAATTGTGGGATCAAATCCTGTACTCCTTCTCAAAACCAAGCTGTCACTGTTTAAAATGGCATTCCCCCGCTCCTTTCTCTCACCGTGTGATTCAAGCTCCTTCCTAGAGGCTGGCTTCTACCTCTTTACTGCATGGAGGCAGAAGGAAACATGTCAGGGCAAGATTCTGTCCCTTTGCTCAGCAACTGGTAAAGCTCTTCTTGCCTTTTGTTCCGGCCAATATGTGCAAAAGCACTGGGACGATTGACAAGGACCAGGCGTATTTATTTTAAATCGTAACTTCGCTAGTGTCAGTACGAAATAAGCAAAAGTTTGCCATAATATGGCTGCTAAAAGCCTGATGCTGCAAGAACAGCTTTAGACTTCAGGTGGAATCCCTGATCTGATCAGGAGACCATGTTGCAAGACTTTCTTCCCACATTAGTGTGCCCATCCTGAAAGGTTTCCTCCCAGGCACACCTTAGACATGCTAATGTTTGCTAGTCCTGAAGGTTCTTCTCTTTGTGTTGTCTTAATCCTTATTGTTTTACCCTAAGGTGCCTCTAGTATACTGTGATCCCCCACCAGATTGCCCACCATCCCCAAACTGTGTATGTAACTAGTAGGTTACAAAAGCTTCTTGTACAAGTTCCCTCTTGCTAGTTCCTGGTGGGGGGAGGGGGGTCCTACATGCCTGGTGGTGTCTGAATAAACTTAGGTGTTCTTTTGACTGCACAGGTCCAGCATGCCTGCTCTCTCTGTTTTTTCTCATCAACCATTGCCCCAACTCATCTTGAATACATGCAAACTTTAACACATATTTCAACCAGCCAAGCAACACATTAGCATTTGGTGAAATCAAATTCTATGTTCATGAAAGAACTCCAGGTGCTTTGCCATGTTTGTCTTGCATATTTGCATCCAACATTCTAGGCCTGACAAATTTGGCACACACAGCAATACCAACTAGACTACTCAGAACATTTGATGCCATCAATCAAGCTTTACAGCTTCCTCTACCTGCCCTTTCCCCTAACATGCATGGATTAGCAGTGAGAGAAAGGGCCCTGTTGATATTGGGCTCTCCTAACTGCCAACTCTGATTCTGGGTGCAAAGCACACTCTCCAGTTTCCAGGATTCTTTTTCTGAATTTGGGGTCTGGTTAGGTTCTATCAGCAATATTGCTGATGGAAACTGACCTCTTGTTAACAAAAGGGAAATAACCACTTGAACAACACAGTTAACCTCAGTCACATGCACAAGTAACTGCAAGGCAATCAATAATGCATGTACATATTTACTTATAGTTATTTATTAATTTTAATCGTTTATGTTTTTCTTAGGTTTTTATATATATATTTAGTGTTTATTAATTCTATTTTTCTTATTTTGTTTTATTTTTCTAACTTTGTTAAATTATTCACAGATTCAATATTATTAAATTATTCAATACCAGGTTTTCCTCTCAAAACCCCACACAAAAATGGTTGAAAAACATGAAAGAGGCTCCAGAGAACTATGAAAAACACAGAAGCTTTGCAAGTGAGAGATCATGCATGCGCAGTAAGTGTCTTGTGTAGAGAAGTCTTGTTCCTGTAAAGGGCCAGCATAACTTACTGTACTCATTATCAGTGGAGAGAGGAGCTTTCAGACGGGACCATACTTTCTGAAATCAGCAGGGGGTGCAGAAGAAGGTGTCTGTGGCCTGTGGCCTTCCTGGGCCTTCCCTTTTCTCCCAGCAGAAAATCTGTTAAGGAGAAGAAAACCATATAGCTGTGCAAGGCCTTCTGACTGGTCCTTTATTATATTTCTATACTGCCCATAGTCAAAGCTCTCTGGGCAGTTCACAACATTTAAGTCACCCACCCAGATTTCCACGTGGCCTGACCCTGCTTGGCTTCCATGATTAAGGCAGGACCAGGCACTGCAGGCTACATGGACTGTGCCAAGAGCCCTACATCAAGGAGCACCCCAGGACAGGGAACTACCGTGTTTGCATGGTCGCCTACATTCCTTCTTGAGAGGCAACCTATGGCATCCTGCAGCCCCGGGCCTCTGGCGGGCCAGTTCTGGTGCCATGGCAGTATCAAAGCTATCGGTGGTGCCTTCTTGCTGAATTTCAGTAGCAAACCACCACGGAAGTTTAAAATGAGCAGATTTAGCTTGGTAGGGATGGGCTTCCTCCCAAACCTGCCCTTGTGCCTTTAAGAGCATCCTGACACAAACACGCACAAAGCAGGCAAACACAACATTCCCCACCTTTTTATTTCTTTTCCTTGCCAGGAAAAGCTTCTTTTCTGTGGTCCAAGTTGCAGTGCGTAGCACAGGCACTGAATCAGGAATCTTTTGTTTTTCTGCACAGGCTGCAACTGCAGTGCATTCACTTGCTAATATAAAAGGGGAAAACAATATTAAGCCCACTCATAGATGCAACATTCTCTCTATAGTCTCACACTAGCATTTTCTCTTTCAACTCCTGGGGTTATTATGAAGTTGAACTGATACAAGAATTGAAAAACAGATTGTGCAAAACAGGGGATGGCCACTTCTAATAGGAGACATTACTGAGGAGAACCGATTTTCAAGCTTGCCTAAATCCCCAAACTCAGGTCAACGCTCATCTTGACTCTATCTAGTTTCCATTTTGACTTGTTTTTCTGCCTGCTCAAATACAGAGGGTCCATTTTGGTAAGAAAGTGGACATTTCTGTGTATATTTTTCAAAAGTGTGTACTTCCTCCCTTTGTCTAAACTGTGAAATTAATATTTTTAAATGCGCATCTCAAAGTGCACTTTAAAAAGAAATGCACATTTCAGAACAAAATTGCAATATTAATTAATATAGCTTGAAAAACAGCACTCGTGGTTGTTTGGGAGTGGTTGTTTGGGACTGTGAAGAGGCATGTTTGCCCAATTTACAAACAGAACTGAAATCTTTGAGTATTGCTGAAGTGAGTTGTGAAGCTGCTGATATAGAGGCAGCACTGCCCTCTAGTGGGGTGTGTGAGCAATGGAATTTGCCTTGGAGGGCCCAGGCAGGGACCAATGTAGGGTGGCCTCTAGTGAATCCCTGCAAAGATGGCCAGCATCACGAAATGAGAGGGCCAAAGGGAACACCTGTTTGCATTATTCTGCCTGTGTTCATTTACATGCATGGACACGAATTTTTGATTGAACAGAAGGGGAACACACACCTGTGAATTTGGAAGCAATGGGGCAGAAAATATGAGAAAAGTTCTGAGTGCCAGTGAAACATTGCCTCAAACAAAGAACAAACTGATGATGATCAGCCCCTGAAGAGGGGAATCTACATTGTTAGAAATGTGTTAGATGCACATTTAGAAATTCTCATTACAGTCTAAGTATAAATATAGGACATAGCAACATAGTGTAGACCCCAGAGACTCGTGTGCCCTGCTCAGTCTGCTGCCCGGGTGATGTAGGGAGGGATTTGAAAGATGTTTCCTCACTAGCCTTGGTGCCCATCTAGTTTTCCTTTACCTGAATATATTCACTCTTTCTCTCTCTTTCCCCCTTCTCTATCTCATAGCAAATTGTGTGGTCTGAAATTTGGGTTTTATATTACAAGAAATAAGCAGAAAACTCTAATTATATTTCTGTTTTATCTTGCTATTTTATATTTTCTCTGGAGTTTTTATTATGTTTCCATACTTTATGGATTTGAAGGTTATTTTGGTGGGCCTTCCAAAATGCTGAGACTGCTGGACACCTCAGAAACATGATAAATGACACAATAGATCCACATTTAGACGTATTAGTGAAGACCAATTGAAATCAATGGGGCTTAAGCTAGACTTTTTCCTTGTTCCATTGATTCCAATAGCTCTTCTCGGAAAGGAGGACTTAAGGGTGCAGGTAGGGTGTGTGTTTCTAGGATGTTTCTAGGCGGGGGTGTGCTGGGAGCAGCAGGGCCTGTTTCCACTAAAACTTCCATGGAATGGTGCCCTGCATTGCATTCCGGCCCATCATGTGTAGATTGTTTAAATTACATTTGTGACACATTTCACAACATGAACACATGGCTTGGATGCATGATTTAGAATGATTTAGATCATTCGTGATTTAGAACGCTGCCACTCCACGTGCCCAGTCACACTTTTGTTGGGGGAAAAAGCAGCTGTTAATGCGTGGCCGGGCCGTTCAGGCAGATGTCTCTAGTTTTACAAGAGAAGACAAATTATTTGTTTCAGCTGTGCCTGTGCCTGTGCCTGCATCTACATATTTTTAAATGTTCCCATAACTGCCTAAGCTTTAATGTACACATCAACTTCAACAAAGGCAGACCGAATGCCCATGTATGTGTGTCTATGTATATCTATATATTTGTATCAGCATTCAGGAGTGGCATCTGTATGTTACACACTCCAATACTGAAAGAGTCATTAAAGGCTTCTCTACATGAGGCATTTAACCCAGTGCTTTTATGAGGCCTTTTCCTCCACTGTTTTTGCAGGTGGATTCTTTTTCCAGCCATTTCCCTCCCCGTTCTTACCTATTCCATTATAGAACACAGGGTGGCACTGTGCCATAGAGTGGAATTGCAAAAATACCCGAAGTCTTTGTACCCAATAATATTTATTTATTACATACATTTTACACTGCCCAGTAGGCCAAAGGCTCTCTCTGAGTGGTTAACAAAATCAAAAACATAAAACAAGTTGCTGACGGCCTCACAACACGGCTTCTGCAAAAACAGGTCCTGCCAGACAAACCTTGTGGAATTCTACGACAAGGTTCAAGGTGGCTAGAGGGAGGGGATGCAGTGGATGTTGTTTACCTGGATTTCAGCAAGGCCTTTGACAAAGTGCCCCATGATATCCTGGGTGAGAAACTGAGGAGTTTTGGGATAGACCAATGCACTGTCTGATGGATTAGGGCATGGCTGACTGACCGAACACAGAGGGTAACCATTAGTGGGGAATTATCAGGATGGCAGCCAGTGACAAGCGGGGTCCCCAGGGCTCTGTCCTGGGGCCAATCCTGTTTAATCTTTTCATCAATGACATGGAAGAAGGGGTGAACAGTCTGCTGATCAAATTTGCAGATGATACTAAAACTGGGGCAGTGGCCACAACTGAGGAGCAGGTACTCCAGATCCAAAAGGATCTGGACAGACTATGGAAGGAGACAGCAGGATGGCGTTCAATGTGGATAAGTGCAAGGTCTTGCACTTGGGGCATAGGAATAGCTGTCATAAGTACAGGTTAGGGGTCAAGTGGCTGGAGAGCAGCACTTGTGAAAGGGACCTCAGGGTGCTGGTTGACTGCAGGCTAAACATGAGTCAGCTGTGTGATGCCGTGGTCAAGAGGGCGAATGCCACCCTTGGTTGCATACAGGGCCATCTTAACAGCATTATCGGCCCCGGGCAAAGCAGTGTACTGGGGCCCCTACAACAACTACAACTACTGTTAATTTTGGAAGTTTTCTAATTTTCCAAGGGTTAACATACACAGATTAGTATGGGGCCCACGGGCAAGTGCCTATCAGGCCCATGCGTTAAGATGGCCCTGGTTGCATGGCCAGAAGTGTGGCTTCTAGATCGAGAGAGGTATTACTACCACTCTACACAACTCTGGTGCACCCGCAACTGGAGTATTGTGTTCAGTTTTGGGCCCCTCATTACAGGAAGGATATAGCCAGGATGGAGTCAATGCAGTGTAGGGCCACAAGGTGGGTGGCCCCATATGAGATGAGACTGAGGGAACTGGGTCTCTTCAGCATGAAGAAGAGGAGACTCAGAGGGAATCTGTTGGTGACATATAGCTATGTGAGGGGATGTCACATGGAAGTGGGTCATGACCTTTTTTCTTCTGTGGTGGAAAAAAGGAGCAAAGCTGAGGGGACCAAGATTCAAGGTGAATGCCAGGAAGCATTAGGACACTAAGTTAGGACCCTTAGGGTATGGGATGGGCTTCCACGGGAGGTGGTTGAGGCCATAATGGTGAGGGTGTTCAAGGATAGGTTGGACATGCACATGGTAGGCATGCCATGAGCGGAGCTGGCTGGAGCTGGGGGTCAGACTAGATGGCCCAGGAGACCCCTTCTGACTTGCTCTGTTTCTATGTTTCTATGAATGAGGCATTTCAGTCAGACAAACACAAAAAGTTTTACTCTGGAAATGACAAACTCAGAAGACACCAAGTGGCTCTAATACTGAGGCAAAATGTAGCACAGGCAGTAGGGGCTATCATGCAAATTCCAACTGAATAATAGCAATCAGAATTAGTGGAAACCCGATCCACATAGTCATCGCTCAAGTCTACACTCCAGCAACAGATGTTAAAGAAGAAAAAATCAGCGTAAGTAAGTGTCCAAGAGGAAACTGATAACACAGCAAAACAAAACATGCTGATAATTGTCCTTGACTGGAAAGCAAAAACAGAAGTTGCCTGAGAATTTGCCCTTAGAGCATCAGAAACAAAGCAGGAGGGCAACTCCTAGAATTCTGAGAGGGAAAGAATCAGTTTATTGCAGAGACATACTTCCAACAACTACATAGTTAGACAACTGCATCCATGGACATCATGAGACAACCAATACAGGAATCAAATAGATTACATAATTGGACGTACAGGATGGAGAACTATATCCTTGCAGCTAAAACAAGACCAGGAGTAGATTGCTGTACCTTCTATGAACTCTTAATATCATAAATCAGAAAATTTATGTATTTTATTTTAATTTAATGTAATCTTGATTTTTTGTATGCCACCCCATTCTTCTAGGATCCAGGCCATTTACAAGAATTTAAAACCAACATCAATTCAAATTTGGACCAAAAACAAGCATATTAAATAAAAGTAATCTGGGAAGGCCTATTGAAGGATGTCTTTAACTCCCTTTTGAAGATGGCAGTCTGGAATATATGACAGACTTCTCCCAGCAAGGCATGCCAGAGTTGAGGGGTGGCCACTGGGAAAGCCCTTGGGGTAGCGGACGTTAATTTTGCAGAAGCAAACTTCAGAAGACTATTTCCAGAAGACCATAGCAGGCGAGGTGGAATGTATGGGCAAAGGTGCCCCCGGCGGTATTTTGAACCTGAGTCATGAAGAGTTTTAAAGGTAAGTACCAATACCTGGTACTACTTCGGGAAACCGATTAGCAGCCAGTGGAAATTCTTGAATATCAGTGGTATATGGAGCCTCCATGATGTCCCAGAGACTAATCTAGTTTCCAGACTAGGCACAAGGGTAGCCATAAGTAGCACATGGTGCAGAAATCAAGCCTAGGAGTTACCAGCACGTGCACTTCTATTTCCATGTCATTCTTCTCCAGGAGGGGTTGCAGTTGGCAGATCAGCTGAAGCTGAAAACAGGCACTCTTGACCATAGAATCAGGAATGCATGACAGCTCTCATGTCAGGGCTAAAAGGACTGGTCAGTGCAAAGAAGCAGCAGATCCAAGAAATCAAAGGGAAATGCAAACCTAGATTAGGAATGCTGAAAGACCAAGAGGGGAACTTACTATCTGACCAGGACGAAATAAAGTGGAAACGATACACAGAAGAACTACAGAGAAGAGGTAAAACAATGATGGGCTCCTTCAAAGAAGAATCCTATGAGGAAGAAACTGAAATATTAGAAAGTGAGGTGAAAACTGCTTTGAAAGCCCTTGGAAGGAATAAAGCATCCAGAATAGAAAGGGTACCAATAGCAATTCTAAGTGACAAGGACTGTATCAGTCCAAATCCTCGTATGCCAACAAATATGGAAAACAAAACAATGGCCCACAGATTGGAAACATGAAATAAATATTCCATTCCCCAAGAAAGCAGATGCTAAAGATTGTAGCAACTATAGAACCATTGCACTGATTTCCCATGAAAGCAACACCATCCTCAAGGTTTTGCAACAAAGTGGGATACCCTACTTGAAACAAGAAATGCCTGATGTTTAAGCTGGATTCTGAAAAGGAAGGGGCATTTGAGATAATATAACAAATGATCTGTTGGCTACTGGAGCAGACCAAAGAATTTCAGAAGAAAATTTATGCTTTCTAAAGTACAGCAAAGCCTTTGACTATTGAGGATGCTCAAAGAAATGGGTGTTCCTCCATGTTTGTTTGTCCTGTACTGTGGACAAGAAGCTACTCTAGGGAAAAATGTCAGGCAGAAGTGTATTTTCTTCCCTATCTGTTCAATCTGTATGCAGAACATATCACAAGGAATGCTGGATTAGGAGCAAAATTAGGGGGAGGGACAGTTGGCCCACCACTGCCGCCGCTGCCCACAGGATCCCACCGCCACCGCGGCTGACCGAGGCCCCGCCGCTGACGACGACGCTGCCCTGAGGGACGGAGGGCATCCACCACGGGACCGGGACTGGGACGCTGCCGGCCTGTGGGCCCTCCACCCTGCCGGCAAGTGCTCTGCGTGCCCTGCTCCTGCCCCCCCACCCCGGCATGGGTGGCAGCTGCGCCGGGCTGGGGGCAGGGCACGGGGGCTTTAACTCGCCGGCTGCGACCGGGGCCAGCGGCCAAAGGGCGACGGCCTAAGGGTGGTGACGCTGTTTGGGGCTGCTTGGGGCTGTGCGGGGGTTGGGCTGGCCATAGACTCTGTGGGTGGGCTTCTGTACTCGGGTGGCTGCAGGGTTTTATTGTTTTTATTGCATTTTAATTTGGATTTCACTCTGATTGTTTTAATGGATTCACACCTGGCTGCTTCCATGGGGCTTCCTGGGGAGCGTGTGGGCACCGCCATTGGGGTGGTTTTGGGCAATGGTCGTTATGGTGTTGGGGGTTTAACGTGTCGGTATAGAAGAAGGAGGGACAGATGGTTGACACCTGTTCCTCCTTCTGGTTATTCCCCCAACCAGAAGGTTCCGGGTATGCTTATCAATCGCCCCTCGGGCCTGACAGTGCTGTTACTTAATGCCAGGTCGGTCCATAATAGAACATCCCTCATCCACGACCTAATTGTGGATGAGGGGGCCGACCTGGCTTGCATCACAGAGACCTGGGCGGGAGAGGGGGGGATGTGTCCCTCTCTCAACTGTGTCCACCCAGGTATCTGGTCCAGCACCAGCCACGCCCGGAGGAGAGGGGAGGGGAGAGGGGTCGCTTTAATTTTTCGAGCTTCTATCTCCCTTATGGGGCTTCCTGTTCTTTCAAGACCAGGTCTAGAGTGCCTCTACCTGGCGCTGGGCGACCGCGACAGATCGGGGATTCTGCTGGTGTACCGTGCACCCTTCTGCCCATCAGACTCCCTGCCTGAGCTGACGGAGATCATCTTGGACCTGGTGTTGAAGACTCCCAGGATGCTGGTCCTGGGGGACTTCAATCTCCATGCTGAGACTGTTCTGACCAGGGCGGCTCAGGACTTCATGGCCTCCATGATGGCCATGGGGCTGTCTCAACATGTCATTGGCCCGACCCATGAATGTGGACACACGCTGGACCTGGTTTTCTCGACGGGGCAGGAAGAGGGTGATCTGAGGGTGAGCAATTTATGTTTGACTCCCCTGTCATGGCCAGACCACTTCCTCGTGAGGTTTGAGCTCGATGTCGGCCTTTCCCTCTGTAAGGCTGCAGACCCTATTGTCTTGGTCTGCCCTCGGAGCCGGATGGATCCGGATGGATTCCTGAAAGCTCTGGGAAGGTTTCCGCTTGATAAAGCTGGCGCTCCTGTTGATGCTCTGGTTGAACTGTGGAATGGGGAAATGGCCAGAGCTATTGACACGATCGCTCCTAAGCGTCCTCTCCCACCTGGCAGAGCCTGTTCATCCCCTGCGTATACACCTGAATTACGGGCGATGGAGCAGGTTGGGAGATGGCTAGAGCGTAGGTGGAGGAAATCTTGGGAAGAATCTGACCAAACACACTTAAGAGCTCATTATCGAGCCTATGCTGTGGTGGTGAGGGCGGCAAACAAGAAATTCTTCTCCCATTGCCTCCTCACAGTGCTGTCCAGAAGAGCTTTTCCGGGTGGTACAGGGGCTGGTACATCCAGGCCCTACGAAATATCCTATACCACCCTCAATAACCCGCTGTGATGACTTTGCCCAGCACTTTAAGGAGAAAATCGCTCAGATTCGTCACGAGCTGGACTCCACTAGTGATTCAGATTCCCTAGGGGAGGTGCCAGTGTCACCGTCTGGTCACATATTGTTGGATGAGTTTCAGTTATTGCAGCCTGATGATGTGGACAAGGTGCTTGGACAAGTGCGTCCCACCACCTGTTTACTTGACCCTTGCCCATCATGGCTACCGTCCAAAGCCAAACACGGGATTGGTGCCTGGATCCTGGAGATCATCAACACCTCTCTGAGGGACGGCCGGGTGCCTGCCCCTCTAAAGGAGGTGGTGGTCAGGCTGGTCCTAAAAAGGCATCACTGGATACAGAGATGGCTGCCGATTATAGACCAGTGCAGGGAGAGAGACAGGGGGAGTGTATCCCTGTTGGTTCTGCTGGACCTCTCAGCGGCTTTCAATACCATCGACCATGGTATTCATGGTAAGGAGGCTGGGAGTAGGAGGCACTGCTTGGCAGTGGTTCCTTTCCTACCTCGACAGCCGATTCCAGAAGGTGGTACTGGGGGACTTTGCCTCTGTGCCATGGCAGCTATGCCATGGAGTACCGCAGGGGTCCATTCTGTCCCCCTCAACTATTCATGAAACCGCTGAGAGAGGTCATCAGGAGGTGTGGGCTGCGGAATCATCAGTACGCTGATGACACCCAGCTCTACCTCTCTTTTTCCACCAATCCAGGTGAGGCAGTGGCTGTATTGAACTGGTGCCTGGCCGAGGTAATGGGCTGGATGAGGGCCAATAAACTGAAACTCAATTCAGATAAGATGGAGGTCCTGCTGGTGGGAGAATCGAGCTCCTGGGTAGATGACTTGGACCTAGTCCTGAATGGGGTTGCACTCCCTCTAAAGGACAGGGTCCGCAGCTTGGGAGTGCTCCTCGACCCGGAGCTGTCTTTGGAAGCTCAAGTGACTGCGGTGGTGAGGAGCACTTTCCTTCAGCTTTGGCTAATCCATCAGCTGCGTCCCTACCTGGAGGACGACTAGGCAGTCACACATGCATTGGTTACTTCCCGGCTGGATTTCTGTAATGCACTCTACGTGGGGTTGCCCTTGAAGACAGTCCGGATACTTCAGATGGTGCAGAATAGAGCAGCCAGGTTGCTGACAGGGACTGGGCGTTATTCTCATATAACCCCAGTCCTCTGCCAGCTTCACTGGCTTCCCAATCAAGTCTGAGCTCAATTCAAAGTACTGGTAATCAAAGCCCTTAATGTCTTGGGACCTGGATACCTAAAGGAACGCCTGCACCAGGAGCCCTCCGTGAGAGACATCAGAAGGCAAAGTACCCGGAGGAGGGCTTTCTCTGTGGTGGCACCCCATCTGTGGAATGTGCTCCCCAGAGAGGTCCACCTGGCGCCGTCGTTATTTGTTTTTCGGCACCAGGCTAAGACCTTTTTATTTAAACAATATTTTAACAACGCTTGATAATATCTATAGGTTTTCATTGTGCAGCCAGGGTGTTTCTGGGTTTTAATTGTATTTGTAGCATGTTTATTTATTTATGTGAGCCGTCCCGAGGCTATACGCAATGGGACAGCATACCAAAATTCTAAATAAATAAATAAAAGAAGCAGGAGTAAAAAGTGGTAGAAGATACATTAGCAATTGGGCATATTGTGAGTGGAGCCGGCTGGAGCCAGGGGTCAGACTAGATGGCCCGGGAGACCCCTTCTGACTCGCTCTGTTTCTCTGTTTCTAATTGAAGAGATATAAATGAGGCCATATTAGTGCCTGGGAGCAGTGAACTGATATGAAAGAAAGAAGAAAGTGTGAAACCATGGCAGCAGCTTAAGAAAACAAAAATCATGACTATAGAAGAATTGCAGAACTTTACTGTCAACAATGAAGAAACTGAAACCATGAAAGACTTTTACATTCCTCATCTCATCAATTCAAACAATGACTTCAGCCAAGGAATTAGAATTAGAAGAAGACCAAGACTTGCAAGGGCAGCAGTGAAGGAACTAGAAAAGTTCACTGTTTCACTGGAGACCAAGGCCAGGATCATCTACACTGTTGCATT